CCTGAATTCAAATCCCAGTTCCGTTGCTTACTAGCTGTGTGACTTAAGGCAAGTATCTTAACCTCTCTGAGCACCAATTCCATCATCTTTAAATGGTTATAATGATAACAGCACTTAACCTCAGAAGTTTTAAGGAAAAATGAAGAGAGATAATACAGAGCCCTTAAGAACTGTGCAAGGTAAGCATTCAGATCTTTATTCATCATTCATTCAACAAACACTTATCAAATGTTTACTTTGTGCCTAAATGGTGTCCTGTTACTTTGGGACACAGCAGTAAACAAAACAGACCAAAACCACTGCCCTGAGGGACCTTTAGGTTCTAGCAGGGAGAGACAGACAGCAAGCACCTTGATGGACAAAATACATGGATTGTGCCATGGAGAAAAACAGGAAAGGAAGACTGGGCTGCAGGCGGCAGGGGTGGAGTTCAATTTTAGGCACGATGGCCATTGAGGGAAGCTCACTGAGAGGGTGACATTTGAGTAAAGACCTGAGGAGGCCAGGGGATACCCATGTAGACACCTGGGGAAACCCGCTGCAGGAATCACCTTACAGTTTGTAAGCGAGTCTGTGCATTCGGTGTTCGCAGGGATTGCTTGACGAGTATTTTTAAATATTTTAGGAAGAAATGTTTGCTTCTATTTTTCTATATGGAGTCAGAAAGAATAGAAATGTTGCTTCTTAAGAGTTGTCTCAACAACCCTAACTTGGACTTTTGTGTGTGTTTGGGAGTTTTGTTGTTTTATTTTGTGACCTTAATAAATCCTTCCTTAGAACGTCCAGGGATTTTTTTCTTACTAGTGTTTTAACAAGCTACAGGATTTGCAAGGTTATATTTCAAAACTATTAAGAGTAGAGTATAGGCTGGTGTGGTGGCTCACGCCTGTAATCCTAGAACTCCGGGAGGCCGAGGCAGGTGGATTGCCTGAGCCCACAGGTGTGAGACCAGCCTGAGCCAAAGTGAGACCCCGTCTCTAAAAAAAAATAGCTGGGTGTTGTGGCGGGCACCCATAAGTCCCAGCTACTTGGGAGGCTGAGGCAAGAGAATTGCTTGAGCCCAAGAGTTTGAGGTTGCTGTGAGCTGTGACGCCACAGTATTTTAGTCCAGTGCTTTCTGCAGCAGTTGATGAAGTCATTTAAATGTGAAATTGATGGATTCTATTCTTCATTCATTCACTTATGCAATTTCATTTATTTGTCCTTTTCGTATCCTACAGCAGGTCTGATAAAACCACCACCATGTATTGAGTCTTTCCCATGGCCAGAAATTGCACTAGGCAATTTGCATAGTTAATCACAGAGCTGTGTGGTAGGTACATTAGTATCCCTGTCTCGTAGATGAGAAAAGGTAGGGTTCTGTGTCCTGTGGATTAAGGCTTCTCTTTTTTTCTTTTGAAGGATGAAGAATGCATTCGTCCTGGTCCTGCTACTGACTTGAGTTTCCTGGAGAAATTGGAAGAGAAAGTGGGCAAGCACGCACACTTTGAAACGTACGTACTTTATTTGACAAACTGTTGGCATGGGTGAAAATAATTGTATATCCATTTTCTTTAGTATGTGAATAGTAAGTATTCCTCGAGAGAACAACTACTTCTTGAACACAAGAATATCACTATGGGCTGAGTGCTCTGGGAGACTGAGATGGGCAAATATCTTGAGTTTAGGAGTTCCAGACCAGCCTAAGGAAGAACAAGACCCTATCTCTACTAAAAATAGAAAAAAATTCAGGCCGGATGCAGTGGCTCATGCCTATCATCCTAGCACTCTGGGAGCCCGAGGCAGGTGGATTGCCTGAGCTCATGGGTTCAAGACCAGCCTGAGCAAGACCCCATCTCTAAAAATAGCCAGGTATTGTCATGGGCACTGTAGTCCCAGCTACTCGGGAGGCTGAGGCAAGAGAATAGCTTGAGCCCAAGAGTTTGAGGTTGCTGTGAGCTATGACACCACTGCACTCTATGCAGGGCCACAAAGGGAGACTATCTCAAAAAAAAAAAATTTGCCAGGTATTGTGGTGGACACCTGTAGTCCCAGCTGCTTGGTAGGCTGAGGCAGGAGGATCACTTGACCCTAGGAATCTGATGTTGCTGTGAGCTAGGCTGATGCTACAGCACTCTAGCCTGGACAACAGAGTAAGCTTCTGTCTCAAATATATATATATATGTTTGCAACTCCTAGATGTGCTACCTTTGTTAGTAGAAATCAAACTCAAGTGGAATTTTAAGAAAAGATTTTGTCTCTTTATCAGTGATCATTACATTTTGGAATGTCCATATGCATGAAATAGTAGTATCTTTTTAAAAATTCAGGTATAAAATACAGTGATGGGTGTAGATGTGAAATGTACAACCTGATGATTTTTTAGATTTGCATGTGCTCCTGTGACCACCGTGCAGATCAAGACTTAGAGCTCAGCATCCCAGAAAAATCAACTGGATGTTCATCATCATCTTTGAGAGAAGGAGGAGGGAAGTTAGGAGCATGTGCTCTGGAGTCAGAAACCGAGTTTTGAATCTCACCTTTGCTACTTACGAGACGTGTGACTTGGGGAAACAACTTATTGCTCTTTCATTTATGTTTTCCCCTGCTACAAGATGGGGATGTTAATATACCTACCACGCAGCTTTGTAAATGACTACTTTACCATAGTAAGGTCTCAGTGAATAGAAGTGGCTTCATCAGACCCGCTGTAGGGCACTGAAAGGACAAGTACATGAAATCACAGAAGGAAATGAATCAATGGAGAAATAAGTTGGGGTACATTCACAAGTGGAGTAATATATCACCTTGCAAATGAATCATCTATAACTACATGCAGTCATGTGGGTAAATCACACAAATGTGTCACAGAAGAGTACATACTATGGAATTCCATTTCTATAAAACCCGTAACTGCTAAAACTAACTTACACTTACACTGTTAGCTGTCTTTATAACTGGCGAGGGCCCAAAGTGGGGGTTCTCACTGGCAATGATCAGGCTGCTTGTTACATGGGTGTGCTTAGTTTTTGCAAATTCACTGAGCTGTATGTTTACGGTATATGTGCTGTCCATATATTATGTATTTAAGAAAAAAAGTTATTTAAAAAATCATGGATTTCCAGAATCTGAGAAATGATGTTTCATGAGTATTTTGGTCTCTCAACATCATAAAAATGTGTGAAGTATTAATAAAATAAAATACAAACAAAAGTATTCTTAGTTATCACCTAGAAAAGCGTACGTTTATGTGGCTCACTTAGGTGTTTTTATTTCTCAGGGTTTGTGAGAGGGAAGGGTCTTTCCTCACTTTGGGCGCCATTTGGTTGCAGTGGAGCAGAGAGGTTCAACTCGTGTCCGTTTCTGTCTTGCAGCCGTAAGCTGGCTGGTCCAAAAGGCCGAAAGCGGATTGGCTGGATGGAGTTCCGACTCCTCCACTATGCAGGAGAAGTCACATACTGCACCAAAGGTGAGTGACCTGCCCCAGGTGTGTGCCCAGCCCGTGTCCTGCTTTTGCACCAAGTCCTCTGAGGCGGCCATCCCAACAAGCCCTCATCTCACACTGAAGCCATTTGAAAAAGTCTTTCTACCTTTTTAAATTTATTATTTTTATAAATAACCCCTCCATTGAGGTATAATTCATATATCATGCATTTCACCCATTTACAGTGGGTAATTTAATATCTTATGGTATTGGGTTGTACAGACATCCCACAGTCTATTTTAGTACATGTCAGCACCCCAATAAGAAACCCTCTGCTCATTGGCCCTTGCTCCCCATCCTGCCCTCGCTGCCCTTCCCTACGGTCCTGGGCAAAATAAACCCATCTACTTTCTGTCTTTGTGACTCTTAACACTTTCTTTATCTGGAATTATACACTACGTGGCCTTTTGTGTTGGGCTTCTTTCACTCAGCGCAATGTTCTCAAGGTTTATCCGTGTTTTCATTCCTTTTCATTGCCAAATAATATTCCATTATACAGATCCACACCAGGTTTTGTTCATCCATTCCTCAGTCATTTGCTGGTGGGCGTTCAGGTTGTTTAGACTTTTAGCTGTTATGCATGATGCTGCCACGAGCATGCCTGTGTAAGCGTTGTCATGAACAGACGTTTTCAGTTTTCTTGGAGTGGAATTACTGGATCTGATGGGAACTCTGTGCTTAGTGTTTTGAGGCACTGCCAGACGGTTTTCCAGGGCCACCATATTACATTCCCACCAGCAGTGTAGGAGAGGTTCTGGTTTCTCCACAGCCTCACCCATACTTGTTACTACCTGTTACATTATTCTATATGGCATGTTCTATTCTATATGTTACGTTCTAATGTTACATCCACATTTTGTATGTATGTTATTCTAGCCATTTTAGCAGGTATTAAGTGGTATCTCAATGTGGTTTTTTTTCTCTTTTTCTGAGACAGAATCTCACTCTGTCACACTGGGTAGAGTGCGGTGACATCATCACAGCTCATAGTAACCTCAAACTCTTGGACACAAGTGATCCTCTTGCCTCAGCCTCCTAAGTAGCTGGAGCTACAGGCGCCCACCATGATGCCTGGCTAGTTTTTTCTATTTTTAATAGAAACGGGGTTTGCTCAGGCTGGTCTCAAACTCCCGAGCTCAAGAAATCTACCCACCTCAGCCTCCCAGAGTGCGAGGCTTTCAGACCTGGCCACCGTACCTGGCTCTCAATGTGGTTCTGATTTGCATTTCCCTGATGACCCCTGATACTGGGTATCTTCTCGTGTGTGTACTGGCCATTTGGGTATCTTCCCAGGAGAAAGGTCCATTCAGTTCTTTCACCCATTTAAAAAATTGGGTTTTTAATTATTGTGTTGTAAGTGTTCTTTATATTTTCTGGATATTAGACTCCAACAAAAATCTTCTCTTACTCTGTGAATTGTCTTTTCACTTTCTTGATGGTATCCTTTGAAGCCCAAAAGTTTTTAGTTTTGATGAAGTCTAATTTATCTTCATTTCCTTCTGTCACTTGCACTTTGGTTAGAAATTACTTTTAAACAGTGCTCGCTTAGGCAGGATATATACTAAAATTGGAACGATACAGAGAAGATTAGCATGGCCCCTGTGCAAGGATGGCATGCAAATTCGTGAAACGTTCCGTATTTTTTTTCTGGTATCATCAATGAATCCCCAACAATAAAAGAAAACGAAATTACTTTCAAACAAGTTTGTCTAAGAATCTTTTAAAAGTAATACATAATGTGTACAAATCTTAAGAGTTCATAGGGCGTGGTGGCTCACGGCTGTAATTCTAGCACTCTGGGAGGCCAAGGCAAAAGGATCACTTGAACTCAGTAGTTCAAGACCAGCCTGAGTAAGAGCAAGACCTCATCTCTACTAAAAACAGAAAAAATGGCTGGGTGTTGTGACAGGCACCTATAGTCCCAGCTGCCCAGAAGGCCAAGGCAGGAGGATCACTTGAGCCCAAGAGTTTGAGTTGCTGTGAACTAGGCTGATGCCACTGCACTCTAGCCTGGGCAACAGAGTGTGACTCTGTCTGAAAAGAAAAAAAGTTCTTATTTTCAAATGCAAAGTGATGTAAAGAAGAAAAAATTCTTTAAAAAATAGGATGAATCTGTTTGTACAGATATAATCTCTTGATTTTTGTCTAAAGAACAAAAGCAATACATGCCCTTTTGCCCTCGTCTCTTCCTGAAGCATCCATAAGAATCAACAGTTTCTTGTAATTACGTCCAGGAAAATAGAAACATTTTATGCTTATGCTTACGTATATGAGGAGACACACAGACTGTTAAATGACACGAACTTCATTTTGTGATATGTACTTCGCATTTTTCACTTAATGATATTGAAGATCATTTGTATTCTAGCTAATATTCACTGAGCACTTACCATAAATGAGTCAGGTACTGTCCCAAGCACTTTAGCTCTGTTGCTCTACACCTCGCAGAGTTGTGGGAAGTGGGAGTATTATTTCTCCCCTTTTGTTATTTGTTTAATTTTTGTTTTTATTGTATTTAATTGAGACATAATTGTACATATTTATGGGTTACACTGTGTTGTTTCAATACATTTATATACTATATAATGATCAAATAGGGTAATTCGCATATCCATCACTTCAAACATTTATCATTTTTTGTGTTGAGAGCATTCTCAAAATATACTCTTGCAGCTATTTGAAATATGCAATAAATTACTAATTACAGTCAACCTATGGTGCTATAGAACACTAAAACGTATTCCTCCCACCTAGCTGTATTTGTATCTGTTAACCAGCCCCTTCCTGTGCTCCCTACCTCCCCACCACTAGGGGCCACTATTCTCTTTACTTCTCTACGAGATCAGCTTTGTTAGCTTCTGTTCAGTATTTATCTTTTTGTACCTGACTTACTTCCTTTAACATAAGGTCCTCCGAGCTCATCCATGTTGCCATGAACGACAAAATTTCATCTTTTTATGGTGAAGTAATATTTCATTGTGGATACACATCACACTTTCCTTATCTGTTTATCTGCTGATGGACATTTAGGTTAATTTCACGTCTTGGTTATTGTAAATAGTGTTGCAGTAAACACAGGAGTTCAGGTATTTCTTCAATATACTGATTTCCTTTCTTTTTGATATATACCCAGTGGTAGGATTGCTGGATCATATGGTAGTTCTATTTTTAGTTTTTTTTTAGATACCTGTGTACTGTTTTCCATAATGGCTCTACCCACTTTCAACAATGTGTATGAATTCCCTTTCTCTACACTCTCGCCAGGATTTCTTACTTTTTTGTCCTTTTGCTTATAACCATCTAACTGGAGTGAGATGATATCTGTTGTCATTTTGATTTACATTTCCCTGGTGATTATCGATATGGAAGGTTTTTTTTTTTCATATGTCTGTGGGCCATTTAGATGTCTTCTTTTGAGAAATGTCTATTTAGGTATTTTGCCTGTTTTAAATTGGATTATTTGAGTTTTTGCAGTAAATTATTTGAGTTCCTTTATCATGCTTGGGTTTTTGCAGCAATATTATTTGAGTTCCTTTATCTGAGTACATGTGATCATGTGATATATTCATGTAATCAAATCAAAGTAAATAGTGACATTTGAAT